TGAACGATAAGGAGAGCCGCCACATCGGGTCACTGGCATCCAATCCTTTCGTTTAAAATCCCTCTCCCAGTTTTATCACCTTAAATGGCACCTAACGGCTCATCAGTGGAGTTTAATGACTCCCTGGGTCGATTCGCCTCAACAAATTGCTCCCTTGGTTAGATTCTCTTACCTGATGTCTCCTTTGTTTCAGTCTTCTTCTGAGTGTTTTCATTTAGGTCTTTCCCTTTTCCGGGAACAAATCCTCCTGCTCCTTTTCTCTCACCAGTTCCACTTCCGATTTTTTCGGCCTTTGTAGAAATGGAAAGGACATGTTCACTCAGAGGATACCAAAGCTATTAAGTACGATTTATAAACTATATCCCTAAATAATCTAAACTTTCTTGTATTCAAAACCACGATCTATCATGGATCCGTAACGAAAACGCCACGTATGTATCCTGTAAACAGGCGCTCTATTTGGTGAAAACTAGGGGGTAAAACATCGCGAGGAGACGGCGAGGGAAAAAGGAAGAGGGAAGTAGTAAAATGCCCTTTTCCCCTCCCTTTAACCTGGCAATGGCAGCTTTGAAATTAATATAATTTTTTGAATACTTTTACTGATGAGCTTTCAAGCTTTTCAAGGTATAGGAAGTGCTCACTAGACACGCTAGAGAGTGAGTTTCATGTGACAGAAAATGCCATCAGCTCTTGGACCGTATGCCGGTATATTTTCCTAACTAGTCGTCCGCGTGGAAATTCAGTTATAGCAGGTCATGTGACGAGGAAACAAGTCGTTTGAACACACGCTAATAAATTATCGACTGAGGCCAAATGCAGTCGCTAAACGGTCCTACGGCGAAAGAGATTCACAAAAATGTGTGAGTGCTCTTACTGTTTTAGAAGTTACTTCCAATCAAAAGATCGTCAATTGATAGTATTACCCTGACGCCTCTCGGTTTAATTTGTCGTTCGAACTTTCTATCTGAGATACTTTTATTTATTTTTTGCAAACAAAAATCGAACGGTTCAAAACAGTTCTTAAGTCAGTAACTAATTATAACACTGGCGCCCGCTTGCACCGTAGCTTCCTCTGAGAGCCTGCCGCCTGTACATGCCACTTTCAAACATCCTTTTTGGCTAAAACAGCTGCATTGCGATAAATTGTTGCATTCGAAAAGAGACGATTTAGTAAACCTGTTCCAGGAGTTCAGATAAAAAAGGGCATTCATTAGCGTGACGTAATATGATAAACACAACATAGGACACGGAAATAAGCACTCTCTCATTTCGTCACATTAAGTTTACTGTGATGATTTCAGGGAATTATAATATGTTAACGTTTAAAAACTTTCTTACAGCTGTTCTTACATCTCCGACTTCGGCGTTCATCGCACTCAGTCTTCCTTTCTCGGACAAGATCCTACGAGCTTCGTCAGATTCACAGCTGTCCAGTGGTGTTTGACCATTTTTGTTTTCTAGCTTTGGATCTGCACCGATATCTAACAACAACAGCAGCATTTCTCTCAAAATTTCGACATCTTCAGGCTCAGCAGGTTTATACTTCACAGCTAGATGGAGAGGTGTGTTTCCCTCGGTGTTAACGGCATTTACATTACACCCTGCATGTAAGATAAGCTTCATGGTCTCAATACAGGGAAGCTTGCACACACTACGCATAGTTTCTTCTCTTAATGAAAAAAATGGTGTTTCATGCCACGCAACTAAGTGCAGTAGAGTATTTCCATCATTGGTTCGAGGGTTTAAAAGCAAGAATCTTTGAAGGAAGTCAATCATGTTGGCGTTTTGACCTTTAACTTTGATGTATATTACCAAAAGATAGAGAGCACAGTAAAGCGTTTTTTCTAGCTCCTCGTTTTCCTGCCCCTCTTGTAAATTTTTAGACATACGTTTTTCGGTTTGCTTCTCACTTGCAGCAACCAGTATTTCAAACACGTCTTCGATAAAATTTGGTCTTAAAACTTTACCTTTTTGTAACATTTCTCCGAATAAAGCCGGGAGGCGTTCAAGATCTTTTATTATCGGAAAATCGCAGTTTATGGCTTTCTCCATGCATCGTTGCCACAAACCAATACAAAGCTCGTACTCCTCAGAGTCTGCTAAAACAGCTCCCTGGTATCTGATTTTTTGCAGATTTGCTGGATTGTCAGGCCCAAGGATTCTTTCTCTGATTATAAGTCCTTCCATGCTGATAGCATGATCATCACCTTCTAACAGAGCAAGTTCCTCAAGAGTTTGACTCTCTTTTCTATTTTGATAAGCTTCCACAGGTTCCATTTTCTTTTTAAGCAATGGATGTGCCAGATCTTCATATCTCTCCTCCATCCCACGTTTCATGTAACTAAGCGCTTTCTCAGTGTTACGAGGTAGATAAAAAGCAATGTTGGCACCAAGAAGTTCAAGAGCATCAATTCTCTGTTCCTTTGTACATTCCGGTCTGTTGATGATATGCTCCACTATTCCAATGGAGCATAAATCACAGGCATAAAGAAGAGGTGTTAAACCTCGATTATCTGCCAGACTTTGTGATGCTCCAAGAGCTAAAAGTTCACGGACAATCTTCAAGTGGCCCCTTTGAACAGCTTCGTGAAGTGCAGTGTCGCCATCTTTGTATTGCAAGTCAATAAAAGCGCCTTTGTTAATAAGATAAGTAACAGTATTTAAGTGGCCCCAGTGGCACGCTACTAGTAAAGGGGTGTACCCGTCAACGTTGCGTGCATTCACATCTGCCCCGCTCTCAACCAAACATCTCACAATGTCAAGGTGTCCTACGTAGGCAGCAGCCCTCAATGGAGTCGAACCCGTCGATGTTCTGCCGTCAACGTCTGCATTTCGTTCGATTAACAATCTCACAACATCAAGACAACCAGAAGCAGCAGCGCCCCACAAAGGTGTACAACCCTCTATAACTTCGTCTTCTTTCTTAAGCGTTCCTCGAGCCTCAATGTCTGCTCCATATTTCAGAAGAATCTGCACACAATTCAGGTGTCCATTATGGGCAGCGATGATAAGAGGAGTGACAAAATGGCTGCCATCTTTAGTTTTCGTCTTCAAAGCGGTTTTTCTTTGTTCAGGTTTCAGCCGCTTTAAAAGAGCAGCCAGATTAGTAGAACCGTCACGAGCAGCTTGATAAACTTTAGTTACACTATCACTCACGGATAGCTTATCAGCCATTTAAAATTAAACTTCAGCGAAGCCACTCTAGATGGAATTTACTACGTTTCGCCTGAAAGATACTGAATACACTCGGGTAAGCAAAACAATTCACAACAAACAGACACTTTTTACGGTCCGATAACCTCGTATTAGCAGAATAATAAAAATTCAGTCGCACAGTAAAAATATACGTCAGATCAGTTGACTGATCATGAGTAGTTCAGTCTATTTATTTCGTCAAAATGGTTCATGTTATGTCTTTTTAGCACAGGTCGTCTTATACAAATCATATTCATAAACAATAAATATTCTGTCTGAATTAACACTCAATGGTTTTAAAACTGTCATTCGCGATACGCGTGATTCCCACCAATTATATATGTAAGACGGCCAAAACGGTCGACACAAGAACAACAGATTTGAGCTTAAGTTTTACGAGTTTATTGAACAAACAAAAAAACGGGAACGAGAAACTAAAATACAAAAATAAAGCAAAAACTGCAATAAGCTAAACAGTATTTACAAGCTAAATATTAGAA